AACTTGCGCAGAATGACAGTGGTGATGATGGGGCAGCAGCAGCAGCGGCGGTGGTAATGGTGGCAGTGGCCGAGGTAGTGGTCGTGGTTGTGGTGCTGGTAGAGGTAGCTGTGGCGGTGGTGGTGGTGGTGGTGGCGGTACGTACTGGTACTGGTAGTGGTAGTAGAGTAGATCTCGCGAGATAGTGCTCAAACCATCATCTACAGCATTTCTCGCAACCCACAAGACACGTCCCCAGAACCCGAAACAGCTTTTTCCGAGTGTCCGTAGCCCAGCTTGGAGCTAAGGCCTCGAGTACATGGGTCACGAGGTCCTGGAAGCCTTCGAATCAAGACCGGGTCACCACCCTTTCGTGCCTGTCTTATCAGTGTGGGCTTCTACTGTTTTCTCGCATTTTTTCGGGTTCAGGGCGGCCAGAAGGGTCATGAGTCTCGAGGCTGGGGATCCACTGTATTTCAAAGAAGTTGTGGTGAGGGTATGGCTTTGGAGGTTCAAGGTCTGCATTGGCCTGATTGGCAACCAGACTGGTTTGGGGCATTGTTTGGTGCTGTCTCACTTCGTCTCCACGGTAGTTTGGCTTGGTTTCTCAGGGTTGGCGTTCATTTTTTCAGCTTGTGGTGCAGGGTTCTTGAGTTAAGAAGTTTCGGCCGGCCCCGCTAAACCCTGAACTCTTACCTCAAGCCCCCTTGCCTCAAAACTCCGATCCTCAACCCTCAAACCCTGTACCCTAGCAGTAGCACTTAAACTCCCCACACAGCCTTAACCCTCAACCCATGAACGCAGTACCCCAAGCCCCCAAACCCCAAACCCTCAACTCCTAAACCCCACCCTAAACCCTAAACCCTAAATCCTAAACCCCTAAACCCTAAACCCTAAATCCTAAACCCCTAAACCCTAAACCCTAAACCCTAAACCCTAACCTGCATCTCCCTTCAGTCTCAGCCCCGAGGTGCTAAAGAACATCCGGATCTTCCAAAGCCTGGAGGACCACCAGGGTTTAGGGTTTACTTAAAGGATCATGGGACTTAGTAACTAGGGTTATAATTAGGGTAACTGTACTTATAACCCCAAATAGGGTACTTCTAACCTTACTTACTAAGTCCCATGATCCTCCAAGTAGGGTTTGGGGTAATGTAGGAACCTGATTGAGAAACCCGGGCTCTATAGCACCAACATAGTGGGATTCCTTTAAGGAACCCTACGCCAGGGTTGCTGAATCAGCTTCCTTTATTCGAGGTGTATGCTGTAGAAGCCTGAATGCTTGCCAACATTGCTCCTCAGGGCTCCTGAGTTAAACCTATACAGGGAACTCCAGAAAGTTGGAATATGGTTTCATGGTAGGATCCCCTATAATTTACCTTAACGGGGTTACGATAATGATATTCCAACTTTCTGGCTTCTACTGTAGTATAAGTTGCCTCCAAACCCTATTCTCATTCTTGAGGCCCCTTCTGAGTTCGGTGCGTTCGGGGTTCAGGGTTGTAATGTAGGAACCTGATTAGGAAACCTTGGGCCTTTATTAGGGTTCCTTACATGAACCCTACAGGGTTTCTTGATCAGGTTCCTACATTATCATAGTATCCTTATAGATCCCTGATGGGAACCCTCATAGACCCCTTTAAAGGGACCCTAAAAACAGGCCCCAGGGTTTTTTTTAATCAGGTTCCTACAGTATTATGATATCCTTATAGATCCCTTATAGTAACCCTTATAGACCCCTTTAAAGGGACCCCAAAAACAGGCCCCACCTTAATCTTTTCTTCGCCGAGAAGTCTGAGGAGCTCGTGGCTGCTCAGCCACTCAACCGGCCAAAGGCCAGGCTTAAGGGGTCCTTGAAGGGGTTCTATTAGGGGGTTCTATTCGAGTTCCTTTGAGGGGTTCTATTCGGGTTCCTTTAACGGACGGGTTCTATTAGGGTTCCTTTAAAGGATTCTATTGGGGTTCCTTTAAGGGGGTTCTATTAGGGTTCCTTTAAGGGGTTCTAGTAACAGGGTTCCTTTACAGGGATCTATAAGTGTCACTGCAAGGGCTTTGTAAGGGGTTCTATGGAAAGTTCGGTTCTGTAAGGGTAGGGCTCTGTGCTACTGGAGTTTGGGCTTCCGGTTTAGGGTTGAGGGTTTTGGGGTAGGGTTGAGGGTTCAGGGTTGAGGGCTTGGGCTTCAGGGTTGAGAGCGTTCCAGAGTCTAGAGTTCAGGACAATTCGAGGCTTCGGGCTCTGGGGCGTAGTTGGTAGTGATGTTCTACATTCAGTAGGGCTCTACCTGTCGTCTTGCATCCTTTACTCATTAGGGCTCTACATGTCGTCTTGTGGTTTTGTTTGGGGCCAGGTTTGATGGTGTGAGGTTTATGGTTCATGGGCCTGGCCCGAAGCAGTTGGAAACGCGTGTAGAGGTAGTCACATAGTTAGTCAGAAGTCTTCAGATCTGGGCGCAGAAGCGAGTGCCGCAAGCAGTGGATAGGAGGGCAGTTCGCACGTACCATCGGGTGCAAGAGAGCATCGTCTTCAGGAGTTTCAAGTCCTAAACCCTAAACCCTAAACCCCTAAACCCTAAACCCTAAGTTGCCGTGTGGTGGCTTGTCCGACACGCCCTCGATGACTCACTACCATTGCTGCCGCTGCTGGGGAGGAGGAGAAGAGACCTCAAAGCCCTATAAGAGCTCCTTTAAGGGATCTATAGGTTCCCTTTAAGGGCTCTGTTCAGAAATCTATAGGGTTCCCTTATCGGAAGAGGAGAATCGGTCGTCGTGTCAGCCGTAGTGCCGTAGTGTTAGTCATGCTGATTGCAAGTCTAGTGGTGGTTAGTCCGCTTCGACAACCACTGGTGTTTGCAGGATCTGGTTTAATACTCATGTCCCATTCCTAAATATCCCCAAACCTAAATCCCAAACGCTAAACCCTAAACCGACTCCATGCCCATACAACCGAGCCCTAGCCTGCTTTGCTCTTTGGAGGTGATCTTCGCGACATCCCAACACCTCGAGGCTGGCGACGCAAGGGCCCCCCGGCTGAACGGATTCTTCTTGGGACTCCAGTGGCTTCACTTTTAGGGTGTAGAGTTTGGGGTCCCAAATCGTACTGGCCCTATGGCCTCAACCTGAGACCTGGGGAGTTGAACATCCGAGTTAAGGAAGAAGCAGAGGAGTTTAGGACCGCACAAACTTCCGACTGGTGCAAACAAAGCAAGCGCAGGCCATGAACAGCGCGGGATTTTTCCTTTTCAACTTTGGGGCGTGAGAAAACATGCATGATGATGGTGATAATGTGGGCCATAGTGGTGACGGGAATGGTGGTGATAGTTATGATAGTAGCAGCTGGAAGAGCAGAGCAGGAGGAGTAGTAGCGGTAGTGGTATGGTATTGTAATGGTAGTGGTCGCTGTGGTCGTGGTGGTTTCGGTGGTGGCGGTGGCAGTGGTAGTTGTCGTGGCAGTGGCATTAGTCGTGGTAGCCGTAGGGTAGTAGTAGTAGTAGTAGTAGTAGTAGTAGCAGCAGCAGCAGCAGCAGCAGGAGCAGCAGTAGTAGTAGCAGGAGGAGGAGTAGTAGTAGGAGCGGCAGCAGGAGAAGGGGGGAAAGGAACAGTCGGCATCGTCGTTGTCGCTGTTATCGTCGTAGTCGTATTTGGGGTTGCGGTCGTCGTCGTCGTCGTGGTCGTCGAGGTTGCGGTTCGTTCGTGTTACTCACAATCGTCATCATGCAAATACAGTGACAAGAGTCGTCGTCATAGGAACGTGGTTCAGTAGATCACAGGGCTCTTGTTTGACTCCCAAACCCGAAGCCCTGAAACCCTGGACATCCGAGCTCCCGAATCTTACCTTTGGTTAGTAGGGAATGGAAGAATGGTAGTAATAGTAGTTATAATTGTACCCCATTCCTCCATTCCCTACTAACCAAAGGTAAGGAATCCCGAACTTCAGGAGCTTTTCTTCCGGATCTGCGGGGAGTCGAAGGTGCAGGGGGTTGATGGGGCCCTAGAGTCGTTGGGTTTGAGTTTGGAAGGGGTCCGGGGTCCAGGCTCTATCTAGTGTTTGTTTGGTTCAGAGTTTCATTTAGAAGATCCCGAATTTTGGATGCCCGATGTTTGGGACAGACTTTGAGACTTAGGAGTTTGGAAAGGGCGGTGGAAGACACTGACCGACAGGATGCTGCGCAGTACTTAAAATTTACAAGCCCTGCGATTTGAATCCTCTATCCGCCGCTTCTCAACCTCCTTGAGGCGCCTCTGCAACTTCAGCAAATGTCGTCGTCCCTTTACATCTACGGTACAACACCATGGTTTAGGGGTTTAGGGGTTATAAGATATCTTCCTCCGAAGAACGCGTTCTAACGACAATGCCCCTGGTGCTGTTGCTGCTGCTCCGAATGTTTTCGGCTGGTTCATGTAGGGATGATGTGTGTTGGGATTTGGAGGCTTGGGTGTTTGGAGTTTATTGTCGTTGGACACATGATAAACGTGGGGTTTGAGAAGATTCACTGTTGCGTGTTGAGAGGAGACCAGAACCGTCTCCCCGAAGAAGCCCTGAGTTGTAAGGCCCACACCCGTTGATGCGAGAAAGAGGGTTTCATTGTGGGTTATGTACGGATGTAAAGTTGATAGGGTGTTCTGGGGTTGTCTAAAATTCTACGAATCGTACATCAAGCTTATGTGGGGGTCTTATGGATGAAGATATGAGATCCTGATCCTGTCTTCCTTCGATCCCATCTCTGAACCCGAAGCTCGAAGGCGTCCTAAGCCCAAAAACCCTAAACTCTAAAACCCTAAACATGCCTAAGCTCTACACCCGTTAAGGCCCTCTAAACCCCTAAGGCCCAAACATCCCGAAACTCTAAGCCAGAAGTCGTAGACCCCTAAAGCCCTAAACTCTAAGCCAGAAGCCGACTTCAGTGGCCCTGGCGAGGAATCTACAAGGGAAGCTGCAATCACAAGGATTTATCCTGGGGCAAGCACGGAATTTGGTGGGTCTGGGTGTCAACTTCCAGACGGCTACACAGCCCACTTCTCAAATGAGGGAGGAACGGTGGCTGAAAGCAAAAGTCTTGTTGGACAGGTTGCAGTACATGCCTTGGACGCAGTATAGAAAAACACAGGTGATCAACAGGGGAATCTTCCCTTTGATCTTCTATGGCTGCAATACCTGGAGAGCGGGCAAGGATTTCTTGAGAGAGGTGAGAGCCAAGTGCAACCACTCGGTTTGGGGCAAGAAGCAATACCACTTGCACTACCTGTCACCGCTTTTCTCTGGGCAACAATATGAGCCTTCATTGTACGTGGCAAGACACCGCTTCTCTGCACTTTTGAGACTTTTTGCTCGTCATGAAGCACTGGTACGACAGGTTTGGGACCAGTCCATCCTCGCAAAGTCTTACTTCAAGGGCAAATCCAGAGGTTGTATTTCATTGTTCCAAAGCCAACTGAATGATCTGGGGTGGGCAATGTACCCTGGGGGTCGCTGTATTACGCATCAAGGCTGGGAATTCTCAATATGGCAGGTCTCCACGGCACAGTTCCTACAAGTGGTACAACAAGCCTGGGAGCACTCTTTGCTACAACACTTGCAATTGAAACACAACTTGGAGGACCTTTGCAGTTTTTCTGCAGCATTTTCCCAAAGCCCTGCACATCCGGATGCTATGCTGGAAGGGTTTATGCGTAAGGTTCGCCTAGGTGGTTTGTTTCCTTGTAAAAGAACCAACCATATGAATGCTGAACAAGAGGCCTGCAAGTTCTGTGGTCAAGAGGACACACTGAAACACAGAGTGTATGAATGTGTTGGGACTGAACATATTCGACAGCTGCCTCAGTGGGACGAAGTAGCTGCACTGCCATACTCCCAGGTTCTGGGTGGCCTTTCTGGATTGCCTGAGGAACTCGAAAGTTTCCACAAAGCACTGGACAATATCCAACACCCTGATGTCCAACCTCTGCCAGATTTGGAAGGCCACAGGTTTTTCTTTACAGACGGCTCTGCTTTTGATCCGGGAAATCCTCAGGCTTTGCTCTGTTCTTGGGCAGTTACAGAGGCAGAAGAGTCTTCCAAAAACAACACCTTGAGATCTTCGGGCCTTTTGCCAGGTCGCAAACAATCTGTTTTCCGCGCTGAACTACATGCTGCAAACGTGGCTATTGCGATGTCCCGTAAGGCGGTTATTTATGTCGACAATGAGGCGACCATGCGACGTGTTCGTCAGATATTATCGGGAACCCTGTACGACACTGAACTGATCCAACATCCTGACCGCGATCTTCTGCAGACCACTATTTCTCTACTTAAGTCTCGTGCCCCTGGTGATGTGCATATCTATTGGACCAAGTCTCACAGGTCTCTATATGACGCTACTGGAAGCCGAGACTTATGGTGTATTTACCACAACGCCAAAGCTGACTCTCATGCTAAAGCTGCTGGTAAATTGGCTCCGCTACCAGTCCTCCAGGCACAACAAAACCTGCTCTGCAAACTCAAACAGATGATGGAAGTGCGCGCAAATGCTGCTGTTCTGCTCAGACAAGTCATGGACGAGTTCCTTTGAGATGCCCTAGTTTTTCGCGGGAGTTGCTCTAATTACACTGCTTGCCCGGCAATGTTCTGTGGTGGTCTCACGTGTAACGCTGGGGACTGCCAATGCAAGGTGAATCTAAGCCAGAAGCCGGAAGGCGTAGACCCCTAAAGCCCGAAACTCTAAGCCAGGAGCCGGAGACCGTCCACCCGAAGCCCAGAACCGTCGAAAATCTAAAGCGCGAAGCCTGAAGCTCCTTGCGCCCCAATTCCGAAGCTCTGAAACTCATCGAGGCCCCCCACAAAGGCTGGCTTAGGGTTCAGGGTGTAGGGTTTAGGGTTTAGGGCTTTGGGTTAAGGGCTTTGGGTTTAGGGGTTAAGGGTTTAGGCACAAACGCTATGACATCCCTCCTATATCTGCCTATTGCGATTTGTGAGGGCTCCCACGCGTTGCCTAAGTCGGCGGCTTTCCAGGCTCTTCTTTGGCTCCTCGGTGTGGCACCCCACGGCACTCTGGCGCGGACTCTGTTGGAGGACAGAGGGTCACGGTTTGGCCATATGAGAGCAATATGCTTTTGAGTCCAGTGGCAGTCATGAGGTAAAATGTCCGCTCCGTATGAAGGTATTGTATGTGTACAGGTATATACATGGACCGATGGATCGATGGACCGATGGATATGGATGGATGGATGATTTCGTGGATGGTACTTTCTAGCGTATATGCATTGTCGTATTGGGAAGTACCCTACTTGATCACATATACTGAGCGCATCTTACCATGTTCCAGGCTCGGTCTCGAGGCAAACTTACAGCAAACCCCAAATTCCGAGCCCCCCTCAGCCTCTAAACTTAAGCCCCAAACCGAGGCCCAAGCCATCCTGAACCCTAAACCCTAAATCCAAAAACGCTCCAGCGCGAAATCCCCCCCCAAACCCCAAGCCTTTAGATCCGACCCTGAAGCGCTAAACACAAACACTTGACCTCAAAACCCCTCAAGTTGAACAGTTGGCCTGTGTCTAAAAGCCTTGCTAGCGTTTTTGGGATTTAAGACTAAGCAGCTCCCAAATCTCTATCCGAAGGACTTCGTGCTGGGGAACTGCATGCGCACCCTGGCTTGAAGATGGGAGAGGGAGCTGTATCGGCAATATGCTCCCTGTTGCTTAGTAGGGAATGCGGGAAAGGATCCCTATAGTAGTCCCTATACAATCCCCAATAATAGGTCCAAATAGCAAGTTCCCTCATTCCCTACTAAGAATCAGACAGTATAGGGAATGGGGTCTAGGGTTCAGGATTTTCTTGCACGGTTATACTAGGCTTGTATTCCAGAGGTACCAGAAACGGATGAAGTTTGGAAGGTCCTAAGCCCTAAGCCGTAAGCCCCAACACCTCAACCTTAAACCTTAAGCCCTAAACCCTAAACCCCCCCAAACCCTGAATCGCTCATGTAAGGCTTCGAAAGCTGTCTTCTTTTGCATGTTTAGAGTGTCAAGTGCCTCAGGAGGGGCTTCTGTGCGGCTGCATCATTTTTGACTCACGTTTTTTGGGCTGTAGGGTAGGGGGGATCAAGAAATTGGAATACTTCTTCTTGCGCATCTCAGAAAAGCTTTGTTGTTATGTGCCCTGCGATCCCGGTTCCGATTGTTCAGACGCGTACCCACCTGTGCATAGTTCTTCCTTGCTGAAGAGAAATCAATCGCAAGCTCGATGCTGCTAGCGCAACATAGCACAGCATAGCCCCAGATCCTAGACTGTAGACCTTGATCCGTCAACTTGGAAACTTATGCCCATGATGTTTGATTGTACGGCTGTCTGTGCTATGTCAGAGGAGAAGTTTCGAACAGAAGGGGCCCGCGGCTTCCCATTGTCACAATGGCCACGGCTATGGTCATGAGTAGAGAATAGTGTTGGTACTGGTGTTATGATTATCTTTGCTGTTCATATCCTTAGTTTTACTGTAGCTTTTTGAGCATAACCATGGTGTCATTATGGTTATTTTGACGTTCTATTGCTTACTGACTTACTGTTGGCATTATTCTTATTACTATCCTCATTAAAATCTTATTCTACCGGCCTAAATCAGTGGCCCATGCTGTTTGGTGGCTCATGTCCAAGTATAGATAGTGTACGCGGGATTGCATACGGTTCGATGGGTCGGCTTTGCGCAGCACCCCTGTCTGACATTGCGAATCAGGAGTATTCCATCCACAGTAACGAACGTGCACTGATACTGTTTGGAGAATCACTCGCTCGTGGTGTCGTCGAACCTTTAACGCTGTTTCGGTGCAGGCAAAGAGTATCGCCTGCAGTACCACTCGAAGACGCCGTTCCCTGATGAAGAGCTGCGCGCGTATTACGAGAAGATGCAGGAGCGACAATGCCGCTGAAACATCCGCATGATTTTGGGAACATCACTTGCAACTTGATCAGTAGACTCCGTTTCGATGCCCCTTAGCTGACTTGAATCCACCCCAAACCCTAAACCCTGAACCCCAAAACCCTACACCCCAAACCCTAAACCCTAATCCCAAACCAAGACATTCCTAAGCTCTCTGATAAACGGAAGACAAAGGACGCCTCAGTGCCCCAAAGGCCCTAAACCCTAAATGCAGCATGCTTGGTGCAGCACATGAAAGCACCATAAACCCTAAACTCCAAACGCTTTAGGGTTAGGGGTTTGGGGTTCTCCCCGGAAGACTCCCCAAACCCCCAATAACTAAACCCAAATCCCATTTGGGTTGTTTTCTAAATTCGGGTCCTTTTTTTAGGTCCCCTTGTTAGTACGTCGCCTTTTTAAAAAACTACCTTAAAAAGGGACCTAATTTGGAGAACTACTCATTCGGCTCTGTCAGGAGCAGACAATGGAGCCTCCTGCACCCCCCGAGCCCTGGCTGGCAGGGGGTTTAGGGTTTAGGGAAGACCCTAGAGGACAGAGGAGAGAGGAGAGAAGAGAGAGAGAGAGAGAGAGAGACGGAGAGGGAGAGGGGGACGGAGAGGGAAGGGAGAGGGAAAGGGTGCCAAGACCTTCCAATATCCGTAAATGAAGGAATATACCCCAAATTACAGTAGGATCCCCAATATGATTTAGGGTACACAGAGCTTCCCCTATCCATAAAGTAAGGAAGATACCCTAAGTTATAGTAGGACCCCTTGTATGATTTAGAGTACATTCCTTAATCAAGTAATTTTAGAAGGTCTGGGTCCGGATTCAGGGGTTGACGTTCCGGATTCGGGGGTAGAGTTTTAGCTACCAAAGGGGCCTAGATAATTACCACTACATTTTGGGTGTTCCTTGTGATATTTATAGTATAAAGGGCCCCAAAACCCTATTCTAATTGTTAAGGCCCCAGATGACGCAAGCTTAGGGTTTGGGGTGCAGGGCCTACGCCTTAGAGCCGAGGGTGAGAGTCTCTTGGAGGCCATGGGCGAATCTAGCCAACCGGCTTAGGCCAAGAACTTGCAATCAGTGTGTCCTTTAAAGGGCCTCCTTCAACGGGTAGTGCCTAACATAGGAGCAGGTGAAGTTTGGGTATCAGTTTGTCGGATCTGGTGAGATCTTCCGAGAGCGCGAGCCTTCAGGCCTTCAGCTGCAGTTTCGATGCTTGGCGGGATCATTGTGCCCTCAAGCTTCAAGTATCGAAACACCTGAGGAAGTGGCTGTGGCAATGAAGGCAGGCAAGATTGGATGCGTCCTATTGCAGCTTTAAGCACCTTGCGAATCATTTCTGGGTCATCAGGTTACCATTAACTTCGCACGGCAAGTTGACAGTCCCAGCTTTGTTTGGAGATGTCTCTGGGAACTCTGCTGCTGTACCGTCTGTGCAGGCACCCTGCGCAAAGTCAAAGTGTATGTCTTGTCGAAGCTTAATCGCCATAGGCATGCAATCCCGATCCCCTAAAGCCCCAACTTAAACCCTAAATCCCAAAACCTCTAAACCCTAAACCCTAAGCCCTAAAGACCAAAGCCCAAACCGTACCGAAGAAGGGAGTCGGCCAGGCCGAGGATATTCTGTCCGCCCTTTGGCACGCAAGCTCTAAGGGTGTTGAGAGTTTCGGCTTAGAGGTTGTAGGGTTAAGGGGTAAGGGGTTCAGGGTTTAGGGGTTCAGGGGTTTCAGGGTTTGCAGAGGATCTAGGATCTAAGGGTGGGATGAATTCCGGTGGGTTAATCCCAAGCAAGGGTCGTAGTATAAGTTAATCCTTCCTACCGTTTTCCCCGTCTTGGAGGATTCCGGCTTGAAGCATAGGGGTTCTGGACCCTTTGACCCTAAATGCAGAATCGAAATTTGATCCTCGAACCTACATCCCATGCTTGTGTGGCTTGCTGTGGCTAGGAGTTCTTCGGAAGAAACGGTTTCAAGGATCGGTCCAAGGTAAATAACAAAGAGCTGCAGTTGGTGCTTTAAGGACTTGAGGTTCTAGTTTCGGCGTTAGGATTCAGGTTTAGAGTCTGCGGTTTGGGTTCGGGGTTCATAGAGCTCCAATCCTGATACAATCCAGGCTGAGAGAACGGCAATATCTACGGGCCCTGACGTCCAGGATCCAGTTCGGGTCATTCTTGCGGTCCATGATTTTCCAAGACTCCAGCAGACTCGAGCGAAATTGCGTGCAAGGAAGAAGTTCAAGAAAGGCTTGCTGCTACTGTGCATCGTCTTCTTGTCATGGCTTTGATTCTTAGTATTGCGACCATGGTTATCCATCATGTCCATAGAATCCTTGGTATTGTCTTGTATGCTATTCGCTGTACAGTGTTTGCTATTGTTTCTGCTACTATTGCCGTAGTTAAATTTTCCGCAGTATGGCTACTAGCGCGTGTTTTGTTTGATTCTCACTAGTTTTTGCCGTTGTCAGTGTTCTTCTAACGGTTCTGTTTTGTTACCATGGTGATGATTATTTCCATTACCACAACACTGTTCAGTTGGCCTCCGATTTGTTATAAACCTTGCATTCTACACATCCTGCGCCCGACATCGCACGAACCCTTAACCCTACTTGTAGCTGGAAAGACGAGGTTCGCTGTCATGGTTTCTTGTTGTAGT